ATTACTTTTCCAGACCTACACATGGGAACTTAATATCCCTTTAGTGAAGTGATGTGTATCCCCTATTTTAGTAAGCTTTTTCATTCTGACCAATCTGATGCCATTATTAATTTATACCTGTACCAAACTTTCTTTTTACATCTATCGCACTTTTCTGCCACTTTATTTCTTGACATTCATCTTTTAATTAGGTCACTAAGACTAACAACACTAAAGGGTTTTTTTTTTTACTTTATTTTATGCAAGTGTTTTTTCCTCACACTTCTACCACTGAATTCAATGCTCTCCTCCATCAGCAGCTGCCTGTGGTGGGTTCATCACCAAGCTGAACGGCTCCCTCACCACCCCCGGGTGGCCCAAAGAATACCCTCCAAACAAGAACTGTTTGTGGCAGCTGGTGGCACCCATTCAGTACCGAATCACCCTGGTGTTTGACGTTTTCGAGACTGAAGGAAACGATGTAAGTTAAAGTTGAAATATACTTGATAAATGTTGCTGCTCCATCCATGACAATTTCACAGACCATTTCTTTGTCTTAGGGATTAAAATTGAGTTGTGTTTACCATCAGGTGTGTAAATATGATTATGTTGAGGTGCGCAGTGGACTGAGCTCAGACTCAAAGCTTCATGGGAAGTTCTGTGGAGCAGAGAAACCCGAGGTCATCACCTCCCAAAACAACAACATGAGGATCGAGTTCAGATCTGACAACACTGTCTCCAAGAGGGGCTTTAAGGCCCACTTCTTTTCCGGTGAGTCATGAAGAGGGGAAGGATTTAGGACATCTTAAAAGGAGGACATACAAAGGAGTTATTTCCAAATGTCCAGATCGGGCACAATAAGAATAGAAACAAGTGTCACACCACTCAAAACAACACAAAAAAAGCTGTCGTTGGCTTCTGACACAAGAATGACAACACTGTAGTGTGCTCCTTTGTGAAGCTTACGTTCAACCCTACATAAGATAAGAGTTATGTGTCATTGTTATTGCTTAAGTTTAAAAAAAACATTCTGCCCTATTTAAACTTCATTCATTCTTTCAATGATATAACTATATTTAACACAAATTCATTGAAAAAATGCAATTTTAAAAAAGTCATTTTATACATGGGAAGTACTAAATGCTGCACCAGCTTCAATAAATGTATTCCTCACAATAAGACACTGACAGCTCATGAAATGTTATGTATAGTTATGAGCAATGTTAATTGTCCAAAATATATATGGACACGTCACGCTTCCTTTTTAAAAAAAATTAGGAGATGCAAGCTCACATGCTTTTAATTTGTACTTATTCACCTGTGACAGCATTGGAATAAAATAACATGAATGTAGATAAATGTGAAAATGTAAATTGTGTATATATTTGACTGACTGCCATTACAGTCATAATGAGTGGAGACATTGCACCAGCTGATTAGCTGCTTAGCTAGATTCCCCCTGAAGTCCCTGGGCAGGTAGACACACAAACACAAGGAATACACCAGAGATGTTGAGCTCAGAGAGGCTCCATGGTTGTTGCTCTAAAACCTTTGTGCCTGCCATCTGCAGCAGATCTGGACTGCTGCTTTCAGCAGCCTATTGTGACATTTGACCATGTTATTATATACTTGTTTTTTAACATTTGGACAGATATCGATGAGTGCTCCAAAGAAAACGGAGGCTGCCAGCATGAATGTGTGAACACCTTCGGTAGTTACAGCTGTCAGTGCCGCAGCGGCTTCATGCTGCATGATAACAAACATGACTGCAAGGAAGGTACAGTACAGTGTGTTCCCGCTGTCCACTCAGCTGGTTCTTCTAAAGGGTCAGTCCACAAAAATGACATTAAAGGCAGGGTTGGTAATTTTTTTTTTGGGGGGGGGGGTGTTGTTGTAGACGCAGCACTGAGGGAAAAATCATGCTAGTTTTCGAAAATTACCAACCCTGCCTCTAAGTGTGGATTATACTTATTTTGGTTTGAGAGTTTAATTTTGGTCATATCTCAGAGCCTCCTCTCTCCCACTGGTCTCTTTTGCTCAGCAACAGTCAAATTGGATTCTTTCATATGCATGTTGAATACACACAACCGACCTCACTGTTGGGGGATTTCAAAGGAACTGCTTAAAGCCACTTATGGACTCAGGGAATTTCCCATTTCTGAACAGTTAACCAAGTGTTTGCGTGTGGAAAGATTTAGTTTTGCTTTCATTTTCCTTCGCTTTTAATAGACGATATTGAAGGAAAAAATGCAACAGGGCATTTATGTGAAAGAACAGGAAATGATGTGATGCCATTGTTTGGCTCTGAAGTGTTCTTTTGTTATATTTTTCAGCCGGCTGCGATCATTTTGTAAACACTGTGTCTGGCACAATAAGTAGCCCTAACTGGCCTGATAGATACCCCAGCAAGAAGGCCTGCACCTGGTCCCTGTCCACAACCCCAGGTCATCGTGTCAAGCTTGTATGTTAACAAATGTGTTTCTTTTTCTTTTTTCTCCTTTTTCGGTGAATTGTGTCTTTAAAGAACTGAAAGGCGACATATTCTGAGGTTGCTCATCATAGGCATTTAACTTAACTTTCAGATTTTCAACGAGATCGACATGGAAGCTCATCTGGAGTGTGCTTACGATCACCTGGAAATCTACGACGGGCGAGACACACGTGCACCAAGTCTGGGACGCTTCTGTGGCACCAAGAAACCTTCTCCAGTCGTATCCAGTGGAAACAAAATGTTCCTGCGTTTTTTCTCAGACAACTCTGTGCAGAAGAGAGGTTTTGAAGTCTCATACGGAGCAGGTGGGCAAAGTCACGGTAAAGACTGTAAAGATCCAAGAAATCTGGACGCTAAGATGCATAATAGAGTACCAAAAAAGTGACATTTTATTGAAGCTGTGTTTAGTGAGGAGCATTTTTCCACTCACTTTTATGAGTTCCTCCTTTTTGACCCTCTAATTTTGTGGTTGTGAATTCCCAGAATGCGGAGGAAGCCTGAAAGCCGAGGTCAAGACAAAAGACCTGTACTCTCACGCCCAGTTTGGAGATAACAACTATCCCAGCGGTTCGGACTGCCTGTGGGTGGTCTCTGCTGAGAAGGGGTACGGCGTGGAAATCATCTTTCAAGTGTTTGAGATCGAGGAGGAGGCGGACTGCGGTTACGATTACGTGGAGCTGTATGACGGCGCTGACATCAAGTCTCCGAGGCTGGGGCGATATTGTGGATCTGGGGTAAAGCTAAGAATATCACTCTTGTGAAAAAAACAACAACATTTAAATCATATTTTCCTTTCAAAACCTTCTTGTTTTCTGTGTCTTTTTCTTTCATTTTTCTTAGGCCCCCGAGGAGGTCTACTCGGCAGGGGATGCCATCGTTCTAAAGTTTCACTCAGACGACAGCATCAATAAGAAAGGTTTTCATGTACGCTACACAAGCACAAAGTTCCAGGACACGTTACACGCAAGCAAGTGACTTTGTTCAAAGCTACCCAGAAAAGCTAAATGAAGACTTCAGCCCTAGCATTTAGAGGGACACACCCGTTATCCAGACGAGAGTGGATACATGGATTGACACCACAAACACCCACCCACATACTTCACATACACTTGTGTTAGAGTGGAGCCCTGCATCTTCACTCTGCTTCACTTTAGAGCTTTGTAGGATGGAGGTAAGGAGTAGTTTGCAGTGATTATTTTCAGTACTTTCAGTCGCACGTTATGTTATAGAGCTGTTTTAAAGGTATAAAATGTATATATTGTGATATTGTTTGCCTTGTTTTTTTAATCAGTATCAGCTCTGTCACTTTTAACTGTCTGAGATTCAAAGTTTGACCACTTCTCATGAATATGCACAATCCAAATAAAGGGGGGGTTGTAAGTAAAAGCTAGTTCACAGCTGGTTTTCTTGTAGTGTCATAACATTCCCATACAGCAGTACAGTACTTGTACATTATGATGGAGAATATCTGCTAATTAGTGCTAACATACGAATGGAATCAAACTAGAGTCTAAACCACTCACAGAAGAATCCAGAGCACAGGCTTCTTGTTGCTCCTGTTTTAGAACAAATAACACAGTAAGCTATTTAATACTTAAAGAGACACCTATTAGAAAGCTGGCAGCATCCACCTGTCACTTAAAACAGCCAAGACCCTAAACATTCATAATTTAGGTCATATAAATGATTGAGTTACATAAAAAACCCTGACTCACACACTTGAGGCACTTGAGATATGAGCTAAAGAGACAAAAAAGAAACCCAAAAAAAAGTTTTAGTACCACAGTGTAACTGTGTAGATGATGGAATTAAACAAGCTTTATGCCGAATGGGGATTGACCATAGACTTTAAATATTAATGGGTGATGTCACCCATCTTTTACTGCAGGGGGCTCCGGTGACTCATCGGCGGCAGCCGCCATGTCAATGCTGTCTCAGCCAAACTTCAGTCAGCCTAACGACAGGCTGAGAGGTGGAGCTGAGGCCGGTTTCAACTATGGAAACTGTAAAACGTATCTTTCATAAAATCAAAACGGGTGCGTTATAAAAAAAAAATTAGGAAAATTAATCAGAACAAAATTGTTTTTTGTACCAGGCTGTAAACATGTTAATTTCTGCTGTGAAAACTGGCTTTTTTGAATGTGGTGTGTATGTGATTTCTGGGGCTCTTGAGCCAGACTCAAGTGGACCCTCGACAAACTGCAGGATTTTGCACTTCCTCATTGGCTTCATTTTTCAACACTGGAGGTTGACCTATTTATTGGAGCCTTCCTCTAATGACTATTTCAGGAACTGCAGTCTATACTTGCTATTTTTTTCAGTCTTACATAGGAATTAACCACCTGAATGCTACACACTTTGTGAACATGATTTTCCAGTGACTTACACATGGGCCATTGCGTTTCATTTAAAGGCAGCATTACAGATTAACAATAATAAAAATTTAAAAAAAACAGTTCTTCAGAGCAGTATAGACAAGGTGTTCCTGTTTCGTTTGATGCTTGAATAAGCAAAGTGTGGGGAGAAACACTTCAAGAAATGCTTTTATTAAAATATTACCCATATAATCCTGCATGTGATATACTGGCGGGCGGCTGCATATTGGATCACCTCAGTGGTTAAAGTCAAAGGCATTTAGCACCAAAAGTCAAAGTAGAAATCAAAATGATACACACACAAAAAGACACTTAACTCTTGTTGCTTAACATTTCCCAAGGTCCTGAACTAGTCAAAACCACCAGGAGTATAAGATATCATCATATAGTCAACTTAAACATGATGCATATTTTTTACAAGACCAAATTCCACAGTGAAGCAGTAAATATACAGGTTAAAGTCATGCAGAAGTAACATATTAAACTGTTAGAATAATAATAATAATAGCACACCAGTTAATCACACACTTTCTTTCTCTTCATTGAAGCCCAGCTTCTCTGAAATGAAATGTGTGGCAGTAGATCCAGCCTACACACTGAACAAAGTACGTAGAAAATGTAAAGTAAAGGTTCCCTGTGGAGTGTCAGACCTCCAGGTGTCCTGTGGGGCAGTTTTTCAGTACATTTCTCAGGGTGAAAACACAATCCTGCTCTGTGCTAATGCATTCTGCATTGCTGACAAAGTAAGGGAAGAAGAAGATATAACCTGCACATCGCGCATTTGGTGAGCAGGCCTTATTGTTTGCAAGACAAACAAACCCTTTCCTGCCCAAAATTCCAATAACTTATGTACGTTGCACACTATATATTTAAAAAAAGATCCCTTGTTATTTCTTATTCTTAACAAGTTCATGTTTTTATACAGTACTTTTAGCTTTGTCAACTTTTTTATCTGTTACATTTTTTTTAAATCTTTGGCAAGAAAACCTTGAGAGGCTCATTCTCATGCACTTTATCCAGAAAACCCAGGTTGAAGTAGGGGTACAGGGTCTCATTGAAGGTCTCCCTGAAGGTGTACAGGTGTGCCATGCATTCTGCGTTGTAGAAGGACACCAGGCCCCTCTTGTAGTCCAGGTACACCCCGATCCGGGCCAGTGGCTCCTCCAGGGACAGCACGGTGGGGGGTGAAGTTCCGGCCATGTACTGTATCCCGTAAGAAAGGGAGAGAGTCCAGAAGCCATTTGCTGGGAGAGCTTTGATGACCCCCTTTCTTGGCACTGACTCCCGAGCTACTCCGACAGTCCAGACTGTGCTGCTGTAAACTTCGATCTCCCAGTAGTGGCGCCCATGGGTGAAGCCCTGGCTTCCGAGCAGGGACAGGGCGGCGTTAAACCTGTACGGGTTGTCCTGCACAGTGTGGTTGAAGGTCTGGTAGCGGACACAGGTCAGGGAGGAGGTGAGGCTGAGCCAGGGGTTGGCTGTGCTGGAGTTAAAAGTGATGGCTGCTGGAACTAAAAACAAGATCACACAAATATTGAAATGATTTGTTTTCTGTGATTCAGTCTTTATTGCTTAATTTTCAAAGGTAGATGGGGCCGACATGTTGCCTGAAGTACCTGGATAAAGGCTTCCTTTCATTGATTTCCACACTCTGTACTGCAGGGGTCCTGCAAATCGACCCTCACACAGACTAGGAGGTGTAAACACAGGTTTCTCAAACTTCAGCGAAGGCCTGTCAACAAAGCCACAGTCAGAACAGTACGAAGAGAGAGAAAAACTAAATCTACCCATGCTCAAATACTGCAAAGAAACTCCTTCCCATCTCACCTCTGGAGCAGGACTTTAATGCTCTGAAATGAGGCAAAGGAATAAAAATAGGAGACGAGGTGATTAGTTTTGTTGTGTGTAAAAGACGATAGAGCTTTTTCCACATTACATCAATGTCTGAGCTCACACGATCCCACCCTTTGGGATCTCCCTGTGGCTGGGGGAAAGTCCCGTAGCCGTGGCCTTGAGCTTGGCTCTGTGCCTCAACTAAACTCCTAATCCTCCAGATCAACGGGTGAGATCACTGGCCTACATCCTGTCTGCACTAACTGCGAAAGTCTTTTGTTATTCTCAGAGTAGAAACAGTGAAAACATTTTTGCCAGTAGTTCAAAGGTTACTCTTCAAATTCATGCAAAGCTTTTAAGGCTTTCGGGAATGCTGTATAAACTAAAACAGGAAAGCCAAAAGGCACACCCTTAAATCTTGAATGTCGATATTGAAGTTGTTGTTTTTTTTTCACAAAAACATAACAGAATTATGTTCAACTAACTTTCATCCCAATTTTAAAAAATGGACTCCTTCTTAATATGAAATAGATGCTTCTGGAAAGAAACAAGTTTGATTCTAACAGCTCAGCATTTCTTGTTTATCCATCGCCAGAGCTGACTCATCATGCTCTTTAATAACTTCCAGATGTGCTGTTTTCATAGTATATGAAGCTTGTATACCCGTAGCAGAGTAAAGGCGTCCTGCTCCTTCAGCTTGTCCTCAATCTCGTGCACAGCTCTCTGCAGACGAGAGATCTCCACACACAGCAGGGCCTTGTGCTCGTCCAGGCGGATCAGCTCCCTGCGCTCCTCCGTCTTCAGCTTCACCTGCAGCAGCTTCTCCTCCTGGTACAGGAACTGGTGCAGGTCACTGAACTGGGCCTCAATGCGCTGCTTCAGGTCAGCCGTGTGCTCCTGATGTCACAACAGCGTTTACATATATGGAATATGGAAGCATTAAAACCATACTAAGTGTGTCCTATTGAAAAAAACATGTTTATATCTTTTATAAAGGCTGTATTAGTCAGATTGTCACTTTGGTTCAATTTGTGAGAGAAATAAATGCACCGTTTTGTAGGTATATTCATGCCGTTAAATGGTGTTTGTATGGAGCCCCTGAAGTCCCAAAAAGAGAAAAAAAAATATCTTGTTTGCACAAGTTATATAATAACTTAACACAAGTGTTTCTTCTGGGACTTCAGGGGCTCAGTATGTTTGTGCATTTCCCCCCTCACCTTCAACTTTTTCACTTCTTCCTCAGCTTCCCTGTCATACTGCAGTGCTGTGTTGAGCTCAACTTTTAGGGAATCCATGGAGCTGTTCAGAGAGGCCTGAAAGGACAGAAACAGTGTCAGTGCAGACTGACCCGGATCAAATTTTAAAAAGACAGAAAGATTCACATTTCAAACTCCTTACAAGTAAAAGAAATAAATAAAAAAGACATGATTCTGACATGTCCCTTTTAATTATCTGCTTATTTAAAACAGTGGAACAAATAGACACTAACTATATTGACAGGTTCATGATGAGTACTATAAATTCAAGAGAAGCGGCACTTGCAACCTCAAAAAAAATGATTTTCTTTTACATCAATGTTTAGAGAACAAAGGCGAGTTTACTGAACGATCACCTGCAGGCATTTCATTGTCCACAAAAGCAAAAAAAATATTTATGTATTATGAAGTGCATACTTCCTGAAATGCATTCTTGTGTTTCATTTTTTTTTTAGACAGAAATAAATAGTAAAGTCTTGACATCGTGTTGTTTACTTAAAGCTTTACTCACCCTGTACTTTTGTTCAGCCTCCTGCACACACACCATGGTGTGATTCCTGTGCTCCTGGGAGAGTCCACACACCAGACACACCAGCTCCTGGTCCTCCTCACAGTAAAGTTTCAGCTCCTCTCTGTGTCTGCTGCAGCGGGGGACCGGAGCAGGGACCCTCTCCAGCACCCCAACATCTGGGAGGCAGGCTGTGGCCCCGCTTTCCTCCAAACCCTGACAGTAGCTCTCCACAATGTTTGCCACAATGCGGTTTGGCCTGTAGCTCTGTCCAGGGTACACCTTCCTGCACTGAGGGCAGGAGCCCGTGCCCCCCTGGCCAGAGCCCCTGGGACCTGTCCAGTACCCCTCGATGCAGCCCTTGCAGAAGGTGTGGTCACAGGGCAGAGACATGGGCTGCTTGAAGAGATCCAGGCATATGGAGCAGGTCAGATCTCTACTTATTCTATGAGCTGAGCTTTTGGTGACTTTTCCAGCTATGGGAGGCTGCCGCAGCTTTTCCATCGCTGTCTGCACAACAAACTCTCCTTCCTTCGGCTTCCAACTTTTCTTCTCTGGCTTTATGCCCTGGTTTAATTTCTCCAAGTTCTGCAGGTAAGCTGACTGGATTTTCTTCACTTCTTTCTGAGTCTTGCTCATTCCTTTGCCTTGATGGTTTTCCTTTGTTCCAAGTGTACAGCTGGACCTCTCCGTCCTTCCTCTCCTGCAGAGTACGGCTGCTCTCCCAGGCCTCCAGTCTTCCTGTTGATTGTGGGGAAATTAAGGGGGTGGTGCAGACGGAGACACAGCCTCTCACATCCTCAGCCGATAGTGAGGGGATCTCAATGGACCCCCCTTTTCCCTCCAGACTGACGTCACAGTTTAGGAAACCGAGGCGGACCGTGGATATTCTATCCTTGGTGTGTTTATTTTGTGAAGTCTGGCTGGCAGCAAAAAATTCTGAGTCACTAAACTCCTAATCTACTGTACACTAACAACCAAAAAATGTAAATCCATTTTAACATGACTTTCAACTGTGTCTGAGTCTGTGTCTGTGTGTGTGTCTGTCTTGTGTGTGTGTGAGTGTGTTAGTGGGAGCAACAAAAAATCCTTGGGCAGGAACAGATTTCCTGCTTCTTTTTATGGACATAGACTCTGCCCAGTAAGTAATCATCGCTGCTGAGGAGAAAACAACATCATTAAGATTTACACACAGAAAGAACACGTCCTGGAGGAGGAAAGCTCCACCATAGACAAAGACAAATACTGCAAACATCCTGTGTGTTATGTGACCTTATTATTATTAGATATTTACAGCTTGTTCCCTGAGGGTTAAAACATCTGCCTGGTAAGAAAAAAAGCATCTCTAAGCAGTGTTTTTTTAATGCGACTTGTTCCATGGAAAAAGAGTTCTGACACATATCAGGATATTGTTCAGTACATTTAGTGTAATGGTTTGTGTACTAGGCTATAGTATTTTGTTAAACATGTCAAACTTGTATCCTTCTTTCAGTGAGTAGTTTAGCAGGCCTCTGACGGATTGTTAAGGACAACAGTGACATCTGGTGTATGTAACTGAAAATTCACAAAGATGTCCAGTATACAATACAGTGGAGAGGGAAAAGAAAGTCTTAACAAGCACGGTCATTAATAATGATTGAAGGACAAATATTTGTCCCCAACGCACATATTTGAAAAAAACAAACAATGAAAAACGTACAAATCATGCAGTAGAGCCAGACTGATGTCGGTGTTTTGAGAACGTCGCTATGCAAATTTAACAGGGAAAAAATGAAACGTGGTCTGGTTGATGGAGAGGTGCCGGTTCACTTCTTGAGTGAAGCCGAGGTGCCCTTCAGCAATCCACCGAACCCCCAACTGCTTGGGCGCTGACATCTCTTCATTTGTGCATGTCCATAGGATCCTAACTAACTCTGGTCAAGATTTCTTTTAAATAATTATTTTTGTGCTTTTGCCTTTATTTTAGACAGGACAGTGGCTACAATAAAAGAGAGAGAGAGAAGAATGACATGTGGGAAAGGAGACGCAGGTCGGAAATCGAACCTGAGTTCCCACCTTGATCTGCTGTACAAACAACATGATGGAACCATCACGTAATCACCTCAATCATTGTTTTCTCCATTATGATCCCTACAAAAACACTTGGATATCTCCAGTACCAATTTGTCTCTGATTGGCCCATATCCACCCATAATCCCTTCAATTAAAGCTTTGAAGAGACACACACATACACACACACACACACACACACGTTTATGATGGCTGCATCTGCTCCAATAGTCACTCAGTCTCCTTTTCAACTTGGACTGAACCACCAGGAGGAGTTCAGATCTGCTGCAGTTAGAGGCCAATCACTGTGTGATCATGTGACTCAGTCGCTATCTGTGGTTCTATTAAGCTGCTAAAGCTGAGAGTGTCCATACCTGTGAATGTTCATAGTAATGACTGACAAGTTCCTCATTCACCAATCAACTGACAGACTGATTTAGCAAAAAATGTGTGCACACAGAATACAAAAATACTCTAACCGCTTTCACGCAAATGTGTCCAAACACTGAAAACTAAGCAAAAGGAAAATGCTCCACCTTTAACTTCAACAATAATAATTTGTGTTTCCCTCTCCTTGATTTTTTTTTCAGAGCTCCTTGTATAAGCTTAACGATTCTTTCCAGGTTGAATTCATCTGATTTTATATGCAGGTATACATTTGAATGTATTTCAATGTCGTTGTGTATATTTAATATATTGTAAAATAATTGCATCCTATGAATGTACAAACACAAAGAAAGGCAACTAGAATTGTGTTCCACTCATATGACATCATTTTCACATAAGTTACATTGATGTCTTTAACTTTGTTTGTGTCCTATATGTTTTCTTATTAGCAAAAGATAAAGAGCACAATTACACGAGTAGGTTTTTAAATGCTATGTTGAGGTAAAGAAGTAAATACATTCTGACAAACCATTAAACACTATATTATTATTCAGTTTCAATATTTACAACTTTGTTTAAGGTACTAAAGTTTTTAGATCCACATTACTAAGTATCTGATGCCATGTCAGTGTTTGTCTTTTCTTCTTGTATATCTTTACTTCTTGTATAACACAGTCATACATGTACAGCATCACAAATAAGTCTGTGCACTATTACACAAGTTGCATACGATCCATCAAATCCAACCATGCCGCAGTACATCATGTACTGCTGTAACATGAAGACAAGAAATAAAAGCAAAAATTCTATAAACTTTTATCTGTTGTAATTTACATTCACTCAGGATTCTGCTGGAAATTGAGTTAATGGATGGCAGACAGGGTAATTAACTTGTAACCTTCAGTGGTCCCCAGTAAAAAAGAAAGACGGCTCAGGGCTGCATAAACTTAATTAACCGAGGAGACAGATTAGGATTGTTGAGTTAATTAAACTGTTTAAATTCTTTGGAGTTAAGATTCTTGTAAACCTCAGGGGTCGGGGAAAATTTGAGTGGAGTGCAGCAGAGGGTGAATGAAGTGGATGTGGTTTATTACACCTTCAATGGCATTGAATAATGAAGATAAACTACACCAGAAGCTGCCTGAATGCAATGAAAGTCAAGAATCTAGATACCAATTGTCTCGATGCACTAAACTCTTTAAATCCACACTGTGTACTGTCATGTAGTTTAAACAAAGGAAGTAGAGGACCCAATTTCAGCAACGAAGCTAAAATATTTATTTAAACGAAAAAACTTTGTTTCAAACCCATAACATAGTCCAACACCAAAAAATCCATGAACATGAGGAGGATGACGTGACCACTGACCACGGGTAGATGAATGAACCGAGTTTGACAATAGGAGTGAAGGTAGATACTGGGGCAATCAGACGCAGGCGAAGACAATCATGGCAGGAAGTAAGACTGATTCAAAGGGTCAAGAACTACAAAATAAAACAGGAAACACTGAAAACTAAACTCACACTGGAATATCAGCCGCCTAACAACCTGTGTAAACGAAATACACAGCAAACAGAGAAACACAAGGCCAGCAAGGATATAAATAAGAAAATGACACAGGCAGCATTAGAAACGTGTACCACCATAGATTACACAGGAATTAAAGCAGCATGAGGGATGAATCCAAAATAAAACGGGAAATTAATTCTAAACACTGAAAATACCAAAATATAAAACTCAACAAGAGCAAATCTCACTATTGTCAGCTCTACGGATAGCAATATTGTTCAGTCGGTGGGTCCAACCCCTTTGTCCAGACTTTTCTATCTCAACATATATTATCCTCAGAATTATTTTGCGCAACATGCTACACTAAGAAATCTGGACATGGTCAACAGTTACCCTGCTAAGCATAAGAAACCTACTGTGGCATTTCACCGTGAGCATGTTAGCATGCTAGAGTTAGCTAAAAGGTACAAGAAACTCAAATATGGCTGTAGACTCATTATTGCGTATTTTAGGGTCATTTCATGTCAGATATCAGTCATGTCATTGTATAGTTTGTAGCATTGTTTACTTTTAGCTCTATGAATTTTGGCTCCTGTGTATTTGGCTTCACACACCAAGCAGAAACCTTTAATGTCATGTGTGCTACAGCGAGGCTTCTTGTGCACACAGACATGTCGATACATTCTGTAACTTATTAACAGTTTTTAATGTTGTATCTTAAAATAAATGTTCATACCTCTAACCTCACAACATGATGAAAAGCAGGGGATAGTTGTGGCACAGCTGGAGACAACGTGTGAATATGTACTCAAATGTGTGCCGCCATGCATGTGAGTGTTTGTTGCGAATTCTGAAAAAATCTGCAACATTTATGAGGAAAAAGAAAAAACTAAAGATACACACTATAGGTATCCGCACCGAACACACATCTTCAATTAAACCCTAAGCTGATGTGTGAGGCATCTGGGAAGCTCAAGGCTCTCTGGAAGTTAAGAGGCTAAAAATAACCTCAGTGTCTGCAGGAGCGAGACCGACCTGTGGGAAGATAAGAGGCACAAGGACAGACACGGATATAACAAATTTCTACAGTTTAGATCATGGCGCTTATGAAGTGGAAGAAATATCATTTACAACTATTTTATTCTTGCATTTATTTTTTAAGAATTTTAGAATTTCTATAATTTTGCTTTCAGGTTAATCCTGCCATAGATGGACAACATTTCCCTCATTCGCAAACACATCGAAAACCAAGTGTTCAACTATTCTCTAGCCATTTAAACCTCCATGTGACTATGGGAACAACCAGCCAGTTTTTTTTATAAATATATTCACACACCAGCTTGCACAATCTCTGGTCAAAATAATCTCTTACAAAATGTGAAAAAGCATATTCAGGTCTTTCCATTCAGGTCTTGGATTATCCATTCCTCCTTCTTTGCTGGACTTCTTCTCAGTGAATTTTTGTCTGTGTCTCCTACCTCATGACTTTCATAGAATTTGAGAGGAGGCACTTAGACTAATGCAGAGACGATGTCAGAGCATATTTTGGGAACAAGAGGCAGCTTCCTGCGTTCGGATTCATTTTCCTTCCAAGTTAATGTGACACTGAATAGAAGCAGGTGCACAGCACAAAGCGTTCAATGACTGTTCGTTTGGGGCGATAATGTCACAGATCAAGGTCAAAATAAAGGAATACCTCAGCTCTTTAACATATTGACACTATGGTTTCAGTACAGCATAAAACGTCATGCTCATGTTTGATGAAAAGTGAGGGAAAGATTTGTGGTTTTCTTTGTTTTAAGCACATGTGATAAATTGTAAATTGAACCTTGTTTTAGAGGGATCAACAAACATTGAATAGCCTATTGCAATGTTTGTGTGAGCACTAATACTATAAATTATTTCAGGATAGTGCATTCTGTCTGCTTTTCCCCGCTTCAGGTGGCACACAAATATGCCGTTTAGCATGTTAATGAATTGATGTCAGTGTCATTTTGATCCTCCATAAAGTCTGACTTTTCTGCAATAAGAAAGTCACATTGCACTCAAAAAACAACAAAGAACTGAGCAGCCTGTGAATCTAAC